CGAATGCGCACTTTTTTGGACCTTTGCGCCCCTTGGGACCCCGGGATCTCTGGCGCTGGAGGCAGTTTGCGGGCCCTCCTAGCAAAGGCAAGGGTGGCAGCTGTCTGCCTGTAGAAGGTGGCTCCAGGCGCACAAAGACATATGACTGAAGTCCTGCAGGGGCCCCCTAGGCAGTCACTCAACAGGCGAGTTAGCTTGGACTCCCGCAAGCCCAAGTACACGGGCGCTTGCCGTCGGGGGGCCCCAGGGGCCAGCGAACCGGAGCCTCCTACACCTCCTTCGGCCTCACCACTCGGGGTAATAAGGGCCGCGTCCTGCTTGTGCTGCTGCTGTTTCTGCTGCTGCTGCTGCTGCTGCTGGGTCAGAGCCTTTACTACCTTTGACAGGGCGAGGAGGCTGCGGTTGATGCTGCCGCCTTCTCTTTGTGTAGCACTGTTTCCTTGCGCGCCCCCTGCCCCCTCTGAGCCTGCCAAATCCACCAAACTGAAGACAGAAGCACGCCGGTGGACTCGGGAAGAAACGCCCGCGCCGCTGCTGTCCGCTGAGGTGCCTTCCTCACTAGAACCCGCACTGGCGGCTGCTTCGGTCCCTGCTGCTGCTGCGGCTGCAGTAACTGCAGCCGTCGCCCCTGCCGTTGCTGCTGCTGCTGGTGACAAAACAATGCGAAGAACAGCATGGGATCGAGATGAGCGCGCATTTGCTGCTGTTTCTGCTGCGTGCCTCTGCTGCTCTCCCTTCTGCACCAGAGAAAGTGCCTCAGCCAGGCAAGACACGGGACGGCAAGTCAAAGAGCCCATGTCAAGAGTTCCTGCCACCGCACAGACGCAAATCTCTTGACCCTCAGTGAGCAGTTAATTCCATTCTTAGTTCAGACATTACTTGCAAGTTATTCACGTAAAGCTGGAATCGCTAGAAATCCGGCCAGCCTTATGGCACTGAATAAGTCATCGAGCCTTGTACGCACCGCCCGTCACACCATGGAAATTAACTGTTTTTGAAATTTCTGTTTAAGAAAATAAATAGGAATTCGTAACTGGGGTGAAGTCCCCAAGCTGATGGCCTGGTAGCTACGGAAGGCTGGGCAACCCCACACCTAGCTGTCTAGTGGTTCATTCGAAGGCACTGAGTTCAGAAATTAGGAAATAAACTGACCATCGGCTCTCTCACATAGTGCAATGGGCCTTTTTTGCCTTGCGTCCCAGGCTCCCCCCGCAGCAGGGCCTCCCGAGTTCCCCGCTGCAGCTCCCTGCAGCAAATCCGTGACAGTTTCCTGGTATACCTCAAGCATTGACAGGGACACCGAGAAGGGGTCACTTGCTGCTCTCTGGTCTCTCTCCCTAAAAATGTCTTTCAGCGCCAACTCTACAATCCCCTTCTCGCCGACCCTCGGGGGCCCCTTCTGTGGGCCCCCTCTTCCCGAACCTCTGTGAGGGGCCCCGCCAAACATTGTGTGTGTTTTGCCGCTCGCCGTCTGCCCGTAGGCCAGAACGGCTGCGTTGAGGCCGCCCAGCGCAGCAGCAACGAGGCCCTTAACCAGTCGGGCATAAACTCCGGCGTTGGATGCCTGTGGAGGGAAGACGCAGTCTGCCTCGAAACAGACATCTTTGAATCCGTCCCATATTCTTTGGGGCCCCCCCTGTCGCCCTACCCCACACGAAGGGCCCCCATCTTGTGGGGGCCCTCGCCGGGGCCCCAAATCCAGAGCCCACGGAGCTGCCAGCACCCAGCCGTCGGCTTCCCCTTCCCTGAGGGCCCAGTCAGCATCTGCAGGGCCTCGCCTAGCCCATGGGGGCCTTCTGACGCTGCGAGATAGGCTCCCAGGAGCACCCTCACAAAGACTCGCTAGAGAAGAGGTAGAGGAGAGCACCTCGCCGCCCTCCCCAGACGATCCTTCGGCACTTTGAGAGGCGCCAGAGGCGCCACAGACAGGCTGAGGGTTTGTTATGTGCTTTAGTGTTGGGGATGTCCCAGGAGAGGGTCCTGGAGGCGCCCCTGCGGAACCCCCTGGAGGTACCCCGGTTGAGACCGTGCTAGGTGAGGCCCCAGGGCGGGATGAGATGGGAGATACCGCCACAGGACGGAAGCGAACACCTACGAGAACTTGACGGTTTACATGTCGGCTACTGCTGCTGCTGCTGCAGTCACCGCTGCTTCCCTCACAGCCAGTGCCGCTGCTGTTGTGGCTGTTGTTGCTGGTTGCAGGTGGTTGTCTTAGTGGGGGCTTACTCGAAGAAGCCTGCCGTGGTAGAGGGCCGGCGGAGGGAGACTCCTCTGAACCTGTTTGTGCCTGCGTCGACTGAGTCATCGGCAGCCTAAACCTCAAACCACAAATGCCCTACAAGCCGTGGCCCTGCGCCCTATATCCCTGTGCCCCGAAATCTCGGGGGCACGCACAGGAGCTCAAGTTCCGATACGAATTCCGACTGTTTTAATGTAGGCTCCAAGGTTCGTTATGTAGGGTTCCGTGTTTCGGGGCTGCCATAGGCTACACCCCAACAATGGGCATCAACAAATCAGGAATGCAAGAAGAACTGAATGCTAGGCGGTGTTTTCGTGCCTCCATAAGCTAGATCTTTCAATTTGTGTGCGTTGGGCCGGGCATTTAAATGTTTATCGCTGCGAGCGTAGTTTTCCTTGCTGCTGGGTCTGGTGGGGTTCGTGTTTATTGCACGGCTCCAGTAGAGCCACAGCAGTTTCGGGACTTTGCCTCGTTCTTAAGTATTAAAGCCAATAGAACTTCCAAAGTCAGTTTCTCACACCGTTAGTTGGCAGTTTTCACAACGTGATCGAGGAGGATGAGCTGCGACCGTCAGCTAGAGTAGTTTGGCAAGCCTTTTGACACCCAAAACATGCGCAGTTCAGGGGAGCTAACCCTTGGGCGAAATCAAAAGTAGCTGGTTAAGAATTCCAGACATATTTTGAATTTGGTGGTGAGGGCAGCCACTATGTGGCCGCGACGTGGGCCACTGAAGACTCAAGAAAGTAAATGCTAGGGGCGGCGCGGCCCTCCTATGCAGCAGAGCCAAGGGCACTGAGCCTCCTACCCAATTAAATTGCCTTTTGTCCCAGAGCTGCACACACTGACCCCCGCAGATGCCGTACCCATTCACGGGGGAAAATCCACTTCGTTCCCTGCCTCATGTTGTAGTTTCTCTGGCAAAGCCTAATCAATGTTGCCCGACTAAAGAGACCTACTTGGAGCCTCTTGAGGGACGTTGTCATTGGCATATTGGTGACACGCCCTGTTTTAGCCCTGCCTACAGAGAAAAGCGAAGACAGACATATCCCCTTATACGGGTAGACAGTCAGTCAGCGTCCACACATGCGTAGGCTCCCTCCTATGTTTACACGCTTTCGCCCCAAAGTCTGTTCGCTTGTGTCTCTACTATTATCGCAATCCCACGCCTGAGACAGACCGTGAGGGTCTTCGGTTCTACACACTGTTGCGCTAGGACGCATGAGCCAGGAAATGACCTTGTTTGATATTACTAAAGGCGGCACAGCAACATTGACCCAACTGGGAGCACTTCCAACCTTTTACATCAAGGTTTTGTTCGGTACTAGCCATTATATGGCCTAAATTTGCCTCAACTATTCAGTAGGTAGCTTTGAGCGGCACAACATTCTTACAGTAACTGTGCATGCTTCGTTGCATGCACTGAGGGAGAGGCGCGTAGTCATGCACTTGATTGAGTGAACCTTTGATGAATTGAAGCCATCTTGAAGCGCACCAGCAGGGTTGCGGCTATAGCTCTAAGAAAAGACGACCACGCAAAGGTTCTTAAGTAGCAAGAATGAGTAAGCGGAACTCTGTAAACAAAATTAAATCGAGATATGGTTCCCCAGAGATCACAGAGGAGAAGAGTTACGAGGGGAACTTGGAAACATCAAGAGTTTTGCCTGAGCCCTTGTTTGCTTGAGACAGTCGGCGAATTCTTCACGAAGTCTCCCGAATTCGTCTCTAACTCGACAAATTTTCTGGTACAGTAGATACTTCTGACCCTCATATACCCTTATGTTCGCTACAGCTATGGAACTAAATAGCTAGAAGCTTATCTAGTTTACTAGATAGCTATCGACAAGCGCATAGGTGTTACGCCCAGCCACATTTTTGTGTCTCTCTGTGACACGTCAGTGCTTCGCAAGTGAAGTTGATGCTTCCATTGAGCCAAAAAACGCACATAAACTCAATAGTATGCACTTATAAAAGGCACATATAGCTCTATGTTCTTGAGGCACATTATGCAGTCAACATAAGGTTGCACTCACCGTAGGATTGTATGTGCAGCAAAGGCTCACAAAGTCTAGCCTTTCCGCAACCGTCTGCGCTGAGAGAAATCTTCAATTTCTCCGCCGTATTTCTTCCTAGACCCATCAGAGCTTCATCCAAGTGGGGCTTTCCGCAGCCTATTCGGCAAGCTAGTTAGCCCGCTGGGTGGCCACCTATCCAGCATGTAGTCAATCCGTTTGCTGACAACGCGGCTATCGGAGACAAAGAAGTAACTTTCTCAGTACCCCAAGTGTTTCCTTCCATCCCGAGCTACGTTGAGGCGCGCAACATGTCGGAGACTGAAGCAAAGGATATTTCCTTTTTTGGGGCGTTTTAAACTTGCGAGAAAACGAAGGCCAACTACTCTAACATCCTCCACAAGCCGCTTGTGAGGCTGCACGCCGAAGCGCGCAGTCCGGAACTTTGTCACTGGGCAGGTGACGGATGCAATCAAGGGCGCCTGTGGACACTTTATTGCTCCTGCAACAAGCTTTTCAAGTCGAATTTCCACCCCTGGCATGAATGCATGCATGAGGCGCATACACAGGCCACAATATGTCAGAGGGCCACGAGGTTGTAGCACAGCAAATTAGAGATCGCACACACACAGAGAATAGCAAGTAAATGGAACAACTAGACAGCAAGACGCCTGATGAGGAGGAGTCGGAATGGAGGTAAGCGCCTTTGCTACATTGTGTCCCCACAGATGAGTATTCGCATTTTGATGACGCTACAAGTAAGCATCCCGTGCGCAATCCTCATCCGACTTCCCTTCAGCTGGCGTTCCACAAATAGTGGGCTCAGCCGCTTCTCCCTGCTGCCCATTTGACTCTACGGCTTCGCTTTGGTCCCCTTCATCTGGCTGACCTTCCCGCGACTCGCTAGCGGAGGCCACAGGCCCCCCTTTGGAACGAAGGGCAAACCTCACTGTGCCTCTGTGGGGTGTGGAGTGCTTGCGGGCACTGCGCCTTCCTGAAGTCACGAAAGGGCCCGCTACCAGGGGTCCTGAAGCTGTTCTGCGTGCTCCATTGGCCCAGGCGCTGCAGAAACTTCTGCATGTGCAGCTGCAGCAGCTGCTGCTTCGACTCCCGGCGGGAGCACAGTCGGTTAGACGGTGAGAAAGGAGCGACAGAGTCAGCGGAAAGGCTGGCGATGCATCTCCCAAGGCAATGGCAAGGGCTGCCGCTGGGTCTCTACTGTACGGAGAGCTGGGACAGGAGAGGGCGGCAAAACGAACTCTAGCTGCCTCCCTTGCCTGTTGGCTTTTGAAGCTGCTGATAGTTGCTGCCTCAGCAAGCGCAGCCGAAACAGCGGCGGACGCCGCAGCGGATCTTGTGCTGCTGCTGCTGCTGCATGGTACAAAGCGAGGTGTTGGCGTTTGCTTATAAGAAGCAAACGACAACTCTGCAGGAAGCTCAACGCTCCCCTGTTGGCCCCAGGACGGAAGCCTTTCAAAAGGCTGGGCTGCTCCCCACAAGTGGAGTTGGTCCAAACGTCCTGTCTCTCCTCTGCCAATTGTCCTCTGTTTCATGTCTACCCACGAAGCATCTCCCCCCATAGGCGTATTGTCTAAAGACAAGCTGCCACTTTTGTCTCTGGCATATCCAGGATCGGTATCTGCCTGAGACTCAGGCGCGTTCCTAGTGTCCCCTGAGTCCTCATCTGCTTCCTCTGCCTCTCTAAACTTTCTAAAGAAAGAGGCACTGCGGCTTGTTTGCTGCCGTAGCAGTGAATAGGCCCTTTCCAGGGACATCTGTGGGGCCAAGACGGCCTCCTGGGCGTCCGCGATTAAGTCGACAGAGAAGCATACGTCCAGCAGCCTGAGGCAACAGATGTACGTGCAACTCGACACAAATCTACGCCACACTGGCAACTGATAATGCTACTACTGCTGCCTTGCTAAGGATTAAGACCTGTGAGGTGGGAGGGCAAAAATACGCAGAAACTGCTCGGTGAAACACAGCAACGAGCAGTACAGCAACATCATTGGAGTCGAATATCTCAGTGGAAGACGACTCAGCAGCCGCAGCAGCAGCGAGGTAGTCAAAAACAATATTTACAGTAGCAGCAACAGCTGCTGCAGCGGCTTCCGCCTCACGCATGTAGAATACGCGGCTTCTTTGTCGTATCTCCGCAGTAGATCTCGTCCCCTTTCTCTGGAAGATGTTCAGACACGGGGAAGCAGCGACAGTGCAGCACGCAAAATACGAGGGCCCAGATATTCATCAGCAGATTGTGATATAAGTCCTGCAACAGCAGCAACAGAAGTACAGTACCACCAGATGCAGCAGCAATGACGAGACAACGATGATTTGCAGCGAGAAGGCAACAGAAAAGAGGAACAGGCAGCAGTAGAAGGCAGCATATTTCTACGAGTCTGGGAAACGATAAAACAGGACAGGCAGCAGAAGAAAAAAGGAAAATGACTTGTGCAGACTCTTGCAACAGAAGCAAATGGATCAGCAGGAGCTGCAGCATGCGACCAGCAAGGGGTGCGCGCACAATGCCCTGGTCTAGTCCCATTCCTGATTCCCCACCCACGGCGGGAAGGGCCCCAAGCAGCCCCAGGAGCCACACGAAGAGGCGTTGCCAGCTGTTGGTGAAGACAAGGAGTTGAATGAGAAAGAATTTACTTCGGGGCTCATATGGTTGCAGGTACGGCTCCGTGATAAGGTAAAATTGAGACAGAGACAGCATGGACACGAACATAGATACTGACAAGAGCAAGCCCAAAAATGCTTCAAACAACAAAGCCGCAGACATTGGAACAGATGGGAACAGTGATGGTCTCGCAGTCAGCTCCAGCTCGGGTCTACTCCCCGTTCCTGATCCAGCAAATGTTGTTTTCTCTTCTGGAGCTACTAGAGTGCCCCGAAGAGCTTTCCCTGAAGGTATTCCCCCATGAGCATCTGTCTTAGTGGTTTTATTTTTCTTCCGGCTGTCTCGGTGATGCTCCCGTGGGTGAAGTGGGACTGCCTGCAATTGTGGGGTTTTATTCTCTCCCCACAAAGGCTCTTCATTGTTCCCTAGCTTCGGCTCTGTTGGATGTGGAATAGCTTTGAATGCATGCGTCAGTTCTTGGTTGTGGCTTTGGAAAGCCTCTTCTGTTTGTGGAATCGTCTCTTCAATCTCCAAGAGTTCCTCCATTGCTTGTCGGGTGCGTTCTGCTGTCTGTACAGCCGGCCGCATTGCCTGTAGGGCCCCCTCCTGAGTGTACAGTGTCTGGGAAGGTTCATATTCCCTGGGGACAATTGCTTTGGACCGGTCAGCTAGGAGACTCGCAGCGGACCAGAGAGGCAGCACAAAGACAAATTGCATGACTCCCAGCTTGAGCAGCCGGAGGGCCCGCGGACTTGGCAGAAAAGGAGACAGCCAATAAGACAAAGGAAAGACAAAGGGCACGGAGTGCCCGTCGCACCCCAACGTCAGAGACAAACACCGAAAACCTCCTGAATCGCAAAAGATAGAGAACTGGAGCCTGGAGGTGCACGAGTTGAAACAGACAAGTAGACATAAAGGATGAACAGGCCAGGAACGAAGCATATAGCGATACGTTGAGTCAGCTAAATGTTCAAGAGGGAGAGCACTGGAAGAGACAGAAGCTAGGGAGAGGGACTTTTCCCCTCACCACATATGTTAATCATGAGAGACGAGAATGAATAAAGGGCCATGCTTTGCGCCAGCTGCTTTCCCAACTCGAAGAACAGCTGCTGCTGCACGTAGTACGACTCGCGAAAGAAGCCTCCTTTGAGTAAATGGGGGCCTTCTTCTAGTCCTTCACGAGACCCTTGTGAGGCTGTCTCCTTAATTCCTGGAGAGACTGGAAAATGCCTTTCTGGAGAATCTAATAAGGCGTTTCTCAAGCTGTCTTCCGAGAATAAATCACGAAGACCTCCGACCCCTCGCACAGCTGCTTCACCCACGGCACTTAACTCCCTTAAAGGGGCGTCCAACGCAGGCAGTGTCCCCTCGCCAGTAGTGTCCCCAACTGCCTGTGCTTCTGCGTGAAGGGGGGATCCGATCCCACCTGACGCTTCCATTAGCACGCCCCCTGCTGTTGCTGCTGCTGCTGCTGCGATTTCGGCGGAAGTCCCAGCCCACTTTAAGGCGAGAGTGTTCGAGAGACTCATCCGCGAGGAGAGCTCATAAGGCTCTTCCAGAGCGGGGCCTAGCTCGGAGAGGACAGAGAGAGATGCAGCAGACGAGAGAATGGCGAAGAAAGGCATGGCGCAGCCGATGCGGCAAATCATGCGCTGCAGCTTGGGCTCGTAATAGTTGGAAAGATGACGCAAAAACAGCCACAAGAAGGCTAACAAACACCCTAACAAACACACGAAGGAGACACTAAACAAGCATTGAACAAAAAAGGGAAGATCCAACAAGCTTTCCTGGTAGCGATTTGAAACGAACGGCGAAACCAGGGACAATAGACGCCAATGGCCCCCAAAGACTGCTCTTAACAGGGGCCCCTCTAAGTGTGCAGAAGCCCTAGGCGGCACAGAGGCGTCCCAACTACGAAGGGAACTTGGGGGTAAACCACCAAAGCTTGGGCGCCTTTCAAGAGAGCTGGGGTGGCCGCCGCTATCCTGGACCACTGGGTGTGGACCAGGGCCTGCGAATAAAAGATCTGCTGATCTCTTGGTGGCCGCGTCGACGAGGGCCGCAGACTGCAGCAGAAGAACTGCAGCCGCTGCTGCAGCTGCCCTGCGGAGGGGCCCCATTGCCAGGGGGCCCTTCGCCGCAGTTTGGCGGAAGTCGGGGGGCCTCCATGGCGGAGCTCTCTCCCGCCTGAGGCTGCTCGGTGGGTCCCTTAGCTCATGGCCATTGCTGTCTGTGAATGCTTGCTGCGTGTGTCTCCGTCTGTCTTCTCTCATTTCTAGCTGTCTCCCAACGTCGCCCGAATTTGAGGGGACAGGGAGACGTCCGAACTCACGACCAACTGTAAAGGACAAGCACTTAATAAAAAGATGGCAGATTTTCAGGAGTTTCTCACAACAGCAGCTATGGTCAACTCCGCGCTCCCGCTGACGAGCAGCCCTGGGACATCATGGCAGCAGAGACGGCAGCAGTAGTTTCAACAGAAGCAACAAAAACAGAAGCAGAAACAGCTGGAGCAGTTTTTATAGTTCATGTAGAGTTTTACGTCTTTCCTTATACTTGGAAGCTTTGTCTACCGGCCTGCAATGCAAGACGATGGCAAAAAGGACAGAGGCATTCTCCACTCCTGTACAGGCGCCTTGCACAGGCGATGCTGCATGACCGAGACGTGCCCAACTGTGAACCCTAAAATATCACATATGAGCAGTAAAAGCCCATCCGCTACAATTACGGCCTTGATTCTACGTTGTATGTTAGACTTTCGGGGAGGGGAAAGTTGAAAATATGCCTCAAAGGATTATCATGTGCTCGCAGTCGTCTCGGGTGTATCGACATCTCAAGATGCGCACGGTGGAGGTCGCAAACCGTGCAGTCTAAACCTCGAGTCGTGATGCTCAGCTTTAGATTAGAGCGCAAAATGCTGTGCCTGAAACACCAGCAAGCTGAATTGTTTGCTCGTATGAAGGTATCGTGGCCGCAGTGCCATGGCCCCAGGTCACCGCCGAAAGGCGAGGACATTAGGGATGCCCTGGATAGTGAGAGTACAATAGTCGTCTATATAAACAAGTATCCAGTGTATTTCGGCAGTGACACCGTAGTTCTGAGCTCATTGGAGGGCAGCGCGAGCACCAAAAAGGCATTAGCTGCAGTGAGAAGAGTAAACTCAGGCAGAGGAACACACGAACGAAGCGGAGATGGAAAGCAGAGAAAGAAGAAAAAAGGACTGTCTGCAAACGCTCTGGGTAACAGAAACAGCACGCACATCTTTGGAGGTGTGAAGTGGAGTAGAGTCCACTCGATCAGTCCAGTGGAGGAACACAGAACTCATTATATGGGGTCTTGCATGGGTCCTCTATTCCATGCAAGACCCCATCCAGCAGCCGGCACGATGACAGGTAAATAACTGTGTAAGTTGAAGGAAAACAGTTTGGCCGCCCTCTCAAAACCTTTGAGAACAGTAACCTTATGTTCAGTCCGCCAGTCCAGCCCCAGTACAGCGTTATAGGGAACGGGCCCTACTAAGAAGTCTCCCGAGAAGCATGCATGCCCGCACCACTTCGTCAACTCCGTCACGAGACGATCAACTGTTCGCCGATGGTTACTGTGAACTTACGCTCTTCTGGAAGTCGCCGCACCTGAACCTGTAGTCATTCGACTGTTTCAGGACTGATAAAGTTTCTCGAGGCTACCGTGTTCAAGAGCGTCCTGCACAGACTCCCCGTCTCATCAACTCGAAGTACCGCTGTCGCACCCACATAACGCAGTGCTCCCCCCTTGTTGTAAATGTCCTTCGCACAAGTCTCCCGCCACCACTGCGACGCGATCTCTGCTTCTTCTGGCCTGTAGTCCTCTCCTGTTACCTTCCCGCTGTTGTCCGTCTTCTCGCACGGGGCCGCTTTGCTCCGTATCGGTGCAGGCCCGGACTCCCGCTGCTCTGCTGATGGCTGCTGAGTCTTTTGCGCGTCCTCAGCCCCTGCATAGGCTCTTTGCTCCGTATTATGTTGCTGCTTTCCCCTCTCTAGGGAGACTGGAATGGCATTAGGGGACGTTGATACTGCACACACCACCCCCTACGGGTTATTGATTGTTCGGTGCTGTTTAATGCGCTATGTGTCGAATGTAAAGGATTTGTCAGAAGGGAGCTTCATTCGTGCTCCAGGAAGTAATGTAGTTGCAGCAGAGAATGTTGTGATGTTGTGCACTACAGTGAATGTCCGTTGGCAGCCCTGTGCAATAAAATCTTGCTAGCTCTCCTGCGGTGAACCCCACGCCACGCTCCGCTATAGCCGCAAACTGTTCCGTGTACCCCTTAGGATTTCGCCTCCACCGTACCTTAGCCAATTCCTTCGACACTTGGGTACGCGACATTGTTTTGTCGACCAATAAGCTTCGTTCCACCTCCTTTCAGCCAATCAGATCTATGGTCCGTCGTAAATAAATCCAAAAAGCCAAAGTATGGCCCACGAGATGGTCAATAAGCGCGCTCCCCCAGTTACTGGGCTCGCGTACCATTTGTGCGTACCGTCGTTCTATGCAAGCAACAAGAAGCCCTGTATAGTGCTTCCGTCTTCGGGAAGTATGGGGGACGTTGCGCATGATACTCTGGGCACCTCTGTAGCATTCTCCATTGCATTTATCATGGTGTTGAGTTGCTCCCACCTAATGTACGGACTGTCAGTTGGCTGGCTGGAGTCACTGGGTAGAGATGCCATCTGTGGTGGTGCCTGCGTAAGCCCTTGTGATCGCTGTGTTGCGTTGGGTTGTGGATCACTTGAGGCAGGTATTTTAGATTTAGCAACACATAGGTTACGGAAAAAAAATCCCGGAGCAGCCCATAAATGTAGTGAACAGCGTTCTCCTCTGCTACTTCGTAACATCCTTGCTCACCAACTGGGACCCCTAACGAATTCTCTACCTTCGACACATATCTCATGAAACAGTTTCAACTGAACAATAATCAATCATCCTTCAAGTCGATCCATCGAATCATCTTAAAAAGCCGAGAAATACAATTCTGACTCTTCCCAGTTCCCGCGTCACCGCAGACACTCCCAGCCTACACATGCTATCTCGCGTATGAATTGTCTTTGTTTATTATTGGTAGTGAGTTGTTTGTGTTCTTCCAGCGTGCTAACCTCTAGAGGTCACCAGCAAGCTCCACTGTAAGTCCCTGTTCACTACAGCGAGCCCTCAGCAAATGCTGAATCTTTGCACTATCTCTAGCCACCACTGCCCAACAAACTGGAAAATGCCGTCAGCGCCATAAAATATATGCCTGAAATACTAAACTCAGAGCCATACCGCCTTTACTGACGAAGAACAAGACACACAACATAGCCCAGTAATAGAGCCTGCGTAGAGGAGCCGCTGAAAGCGCTAAAGCCTGGACCTAGAGTCCAACCTCACGTCTACATGCATGCTGCGACCCCCAATGCCTAGCTATTGGCACAATTCCATTGAACTCGAATACTTTTTTAGTTTTTGTACATTGATATTCATTTCTGTCTTCCGTTGTAGGCCCCCGATCGACTTGAGAGAGCCTTCCGGATCGCACCATCAGATCTGTGAGGCTCCGGAAAGTTAAGTGTCTTCTTTTGCCGGGCTGGCAAGAAGAACTTTGGGCCTGTGGCAGGATACATTAAACACTCTTGAATCGCGTGAGGAACAGCTGCTCTAGCGGCAGCAGATGTTGTTGCTGTGGCTACAAGGGGAATCTGAGGGCTGCTGTGGCTCTTCTTGGTCCTGCTGGTGCTGCTACTGTGCTACTTCTCTCTCATTGAAATGGCTGGTCTGAGTCTGCACAGTGACGCTTCTACAACAACGGGATACGGCGTGGCTAGTGAGCCACGAGCAGCTGCAGCAGGAAATGCCGCAGCAGGTGCTGCAGGACCTGCAGCAAGCGATGAGTGCCTATCCGACGCAGTGTGTCTCCTTTCTTCTGGAACTGCAGCGGCACAAGCAGCGCTTTCCCTGCTGCCCAAATTGCCGGGGCCCTTATCTGTCTTTGGGGGACCCCTAGCAGACCTGTGGTTTCTCTGTTTCGAACTCTTCTGCTGCCGCCTGTCTTTGTCTCCACATCAGGTTCAACACCGACTGCAGGGTGCCTTGGGGTCGATATTGGAGCGCAACACTGGGGGACCTCTGACAGGTGCATTGGGAGCTCCTTGTGGATTTGCGTTTCTGTCATATAAAGAAGCACGGACCCTTGTGCTGCGGCGTGCATTCCCGAGCCAGGGGGCTGCCCGTGTTGCTGCTGCTGCAGCAGATCTACGCGGCAAGAATTTGCACCCACGAGAAGCTGTCGGGATGCTGCTGCTATTGCAGTTGCTGCATCGCCGGGCCCAAAGGGTGTATGCGCTCTACGAAAGGGAGCCTCAGAAGCCCCTTCCGCACAACACCCTCATCAGCATTTTGCTGGAAGCGCTCAGGCCAGCCGAAGCATCTGCTGCTTCTGCACTGCAAAAGACACTGCAGCAGCAAAGTTTGCAGCCCTCGTTTGAGGCTTTTGGAAGCTTTTTGCTGCTGGCCACTGAAGGCCCCTGGAAGAGCCTGGTGCCGTGCGCTGGGGGCCTCCCTCAGGGGTCTCTCAGACAATTGCCTTTACCCACGAACTTCTCAGGTCCTTCGGTCAACAAACGGCCTCTAGAAGAAGAAGAGACTTCTATATCTGCATCCCGGCGACGCGTTCTTCACTGTGTGGGGGACACCCACAGCCAAAGCGCTTTTGAGAGTTTGTAGAAGGTTTAGAGAGCTCCATAGGAGCCACTCAGGTGGATTAAAGGGGGAGCTTTAGACCTACAGCCGGCCTAGCGAGCCGCTGAAGGTGTTTGGCCTATACTATCGGGCTTGCCTTGGTGTTCACTGCTCGTGCCAGCTGCTGTTCAGAGCAGCAACATAAGCAGCAGCAGCCGCAGCCGTGGCAGCAAATACGCCGTATACCTTCAAGGGCATGCATGCGACGAATATGGCAAGCCCGAGATCGAACAGTGCAAATGCAGTTCAGCTGCAGTTGCTGCTGCAGCTGTTTTCGTTGCTGCTTGGTGAAAGACTGTCCTCCTGTTTTCAATAGTATGCAAACCACCCATCTACACTGACGGGTCGTGGGGCTGATCGTGTTTGGGCAAGTGTTCTCACGCGTAGGGGCCCAGAAGGCCTGCCTGTCTATCTGTAGACATTTGATGTGCCTTTGTGAGGGCCCTTGGTGTATCGATGTGAACATGAGCGCTACAAAAGGGATGCTCCAAGAGCATATGAGTAAAGATCTATCCGCAGTGAG